TTCCTCTAAAGTCCAGGGGGTTGGGTCATCTTCATTAAGTGTTTCCATTAATGAAGTAACAATGCTAACACCTCTATTATTCTTAACCCAAACTCCGTGTGTACGCAGATGGGTCCGAAGACCTCGAACGTAGACGAGAGAGGCAGCATTGAAATCATCCTCTTCAAAAGATATAAAATCTTCCTTGAAAGCTTCCCAAAGGTTATCATCTTTGATCTTGAACTGTATGTAGTCGTTGACTTTCTGTTCGATGAATTTGTTAATCTGCTGTTGCCTGGCTTCTGCTTCCTTATCGAGCGCCGTCTGCTTTGATTGTGATCTCGTTGAGGGTCGGGATCCGCCTGTAGATAGCTTGGAATCGGTGTACGAGTCGGGCATATTGAATGCGGGCTTTGGAAAAGTTAGTGATGATGAAAGCAGAAAAATGGGGTCGTATGAATTTAGGCTGTTGAAATATTACGCAGAATCGAGGGCCTTGATGAAGGAGTCGATATGTGTTTAATTATTCAAGAGCTTTTTTTTTTTTTTTTTTTTTTTTTTCGTAGTGGACGCGGGATTTGAGGGCCTTGTGAAAGGGGTCAAATCCTTGAATATTTATTTGAAGTCAAGGGCCTTAAGGAAGGGGTCAACTATCAAGTCTATACTCCTTAGCAAACGCAATCGAGCCGAGGCCTTTATCAGGGACTGAACGATTGAATCTCTCTTCACAAGATGTATCTGATCTGTACGTCTACTGATCAGTGTCGGAATACTTCAAGTGGACGGGTTTCGTGACAAGCTTGTTGTAACAATATTGGTATCAATTAATTCCTCTCTAACTCCCTCCCTCCTATGGAACATCTAATAATTACATTGGGGAGCCAATTTCTTATTCCCGGCGCTATTCTATATAAGGGAGTATTACGATAGTAAGGCACGTGATATGATACAGAACTTTAATCAGACAAAGACTTTGTGCTGGGCGACGTGCATTAGGATATCTACTAGCTTCACAGTCCGGTCATGGCAACTTCGCGGACTAACACCGACGGTTTCAGCATGAAAACGCCAATCTAACCTGCACGTGCGGAGAAGAGAAGTCCCCCAACCACTCTTTCTATTGCCACCTCGGGCAATACCAAGCCCAGCTCCACAGGGCACAGAACTCTAATCCCAGCGTATCCTGGGCACTTGCTTCGGCGGAGGGAGTTGATGCATTCATTAATTGGGTGCGTGTCACAGATTTCTTCGAAAGGGCACAACGAACTGTCTGATTCGAACGAAATCACGATCTGATGTAAACAATGTTCTCCTTTTATTTTTTATTTTGTTTTGTTTTGTAAAATATTTTCTTGATTTAGTACCAACTACATAGCATGAGATTCGTTGGACAGACGACCTTCATGTACACTATAATCTTCGAGCGTGGGATGATAAAATCCTAGCTATTGTTTGCTTTGGTGGGAGAGAAACGGCCATGGCATTTTGCAGAGTGTGACGGAAACCGAGTTGGTTGTGAATAAATCGATTTATTAAACTATATGAGGAGAAAAGAGAACTCTAGCTACGACTAACAGGTATTTATAAGAATTGGTCCCCTTCGTCAATCTCCAGACTGATGACTTATCCTTAGGCACAATACTTGCTACCCAGCCACGCATTGCCAGGTGTTACTTAGTTGTAGTAACGCTTCGACCTCCTGACTAGTAGTGCCGCTTAGTTGTAAATATTCCCAACAATCCGCTTAGGTATTCACCTAAGCTCTAATAGCGGTCAAACTGTAACACAGAGTGTCGCCCGACCATCCAGAAATGGAGGACGGAAACGAAGGAACCACGACCTACGACAAGGGATATGATAGGGCAAGAAGGATGGCAGATATTCTGGCGCTTTCTAACTGTAACAAAATGTTACAGCAAAATTGAATCATAAACAGGGAACTTGAATGTCAGCTGTATTGCTTCTTAGGGCCACTCAGTGTGGCACGAGGATGGAGGTGTAGTGCAGGGCGCTAGCACCTCAGAAATGGTGTTTTTTCTTTTTATTTGTTTTGTTTCTGTATTTCTGGCTCCTATGAACCAATCATGTAGGTAGCGAAGAGTCTTATTTAGATCTGGACTACCCGTGCCATGCCCCATGGGTGCTGGGTCAGTACCCGGTCACGATAAAAATATCATTATCATCATCATCATTGCTTTGGTGGGTCTGTGAGGGCGCCAACACGTCGGGTAATTTAACTTAGACTGGGCTAACCGGTACGTGAGGAACTCACGTGCTGTGCGCGGGCACGACGTTATGTATTAAAAAAAAAAAAAAAAAAAACTTCATGCTTCTTCACTTCGATAAATATTTCGTCTTGCATCCCTAATAATAAAGTAATAATCAACTACATACTGAATTTACCTTAACAATACATTTGAGCGGAGGGCAAGACTGAACAACTGTGCGCGGTGCTTTCCACGAACCTAGGAGTGAAATTTTCTCCCGGAGCCAAGTTGAGTCAAATTTCGTAATACTAATGAAGTTGGCCCACGAGGCAATGATTCAGACTACTCCATGTTGGAAATGGAGACACAGAGTGTTGTGGGCGTACGGGCCCTCAATTTCATCTAAGTTCCCGACACAATCTTGTATGTATTTAAGAGATTGTAATGGGTAATATGATAGCGCTTCAGCTCACATATTGGATATATGAGCGGCTGTATAGTGTGGGCATAAGGAGATTATTGGGGTTTTCTGTGCCTATATGTCGCCACACTCGTTTATGCTGTGACTCAGGCTCTGCGTTGCTAACACTGGTGCTTGTAGCGCACACTTCCCATACTACTAGTTGTAATCCGAATATGAGACTCATTTAGTCAACTTCTACTTTCGTTCCATAGATATTGCGCCCATTTCATTGCGCGACATTTCCAACACTCCATCTCGTCAAAATTTTACCCCTAACGAATTCAACTTCTACCTCAGTCTCCCCAAGTCTACAAGTACGACCTAGTGCATCCTCATACCGATGACCACACCTCTCAACTCTCTCTGGCCTCAGTTGACCACCAAATACACGCCCACGCCTATATTAACACACGACGTAGGAAGCAGAGCGTGGCGCACAAATCTGGGAGAAAACTCTTTAGGATGGGCGTGAGAGATATTAGGATGAGTTGATACAGAGGATGGATACAATCTCGAAGGGCGTAAAATTTGGAATTCTAGCAAGGAGTTTTACGAATTGAGCTTTGTGCGCGCCAAGATTTGTCTTTTTTATTTTTTTTTGCATCAGATTTTAATTGCGTATGCAGCTATCTAGCTATGACACGATATCAGGGAAGTGTATAATAGATCACTCAACTTACAGGAGTACTCATGCCTTAGATTTCATTTGCAAGTACCACTGCGAAGTTGTGGTGGCTTTTTCTTCACCCCAAGTCAACCCTCATCCGTGAACACCCACTCAGGGGAACATCTCAAAAACCCTGAGTTATCCAGACATGCCTTCATTATCTCTCAAAATTTCTCCGCGCGAAATATGGTCTTAGGCGTCTCCTTCCCAAGTGGAGTAGGTGCCCAGGCTACTCAGACTATACCAGAGAACACCACCAGGAGGCGGACCACAACACCTTCTATCGTTTGCTTGTTTTTATAGTGTTAGCTGCACTCTCGCAAGAGAAATCTTGCCGGTATAGTCTGAGTAGCCTGGGCACCTACTCCACTTAGGAAGGAGACGCCTAAGACCATATTTCGCGCGGAGAGATTTTGAGAGATAATGAAGGCATGTCTGGATAACTCAGGGTTTTTGAGATGTTCCCCTGAGTGGGTATTCACGGATGAGGGTTGACTTGGGGTGAAGAAAAAGCCACCACAACTTCGCAGTGGTACTTGCAAATGAAATCTAAGGCATGAGTACTCCTGTAAGTTGAGTGATCTATTATACACTTCCCTGATATCGTGTCATAGCTAGATAGCTGCATACACATTTAAAAATTGATGCAAAAAAAAGGCTCTAAATCGGGTTATATGAAGTCAAATTCGAACTGGATGTATTCTTGAAAATTTATTTCAATTATCAAAATAAATTCTACATATCGGGCAATATGATGCATTTGGCTTTTCACCAAGTCCTTAAGATCAGTGACTAAGCTAACTTTAAATTTCCAGAAAGCTAGATTATCAAGGTTTCGTATTAGACTATTTGGAAGCATATATCCTGCCTCACCACTCTGCCTGGCATCTGAATAATTTGCTTCAGGATTTTCTTTATCTACGGATACTTCTTTCCCCTGACATAAACAAGAATAGCATTTACGGCTTGTAACAAATTTATCGCTGAGATTCTATGTGTAGTGTAAAGTGCAAGGTTATAAAATACCGTATCCTGGATCTGATTGTGCATAACCTTTATGAGTTATTACTCCACGGTCGGTCTGGTTCCAAAAATTATTTCATATCAATAGCCATTTATGTAAAGGGTTGAGTTCGCTGCTATCACAGTCGGGCTTTGCACTTTAAAGCGAATATTAATGTATCCTATTGAGATTTAGATAATCCTTTGCCAACTTCATGGTCTCTCTCATGATGACGTCACCTAGATTATAAGTCCAGAAATTTACAGGCATGATAACTTTTTGTCAACCAGCTACTACGTGTGATACCATGAGTGTTCTCGTGCTACGTATAGGATAATGAAGCCTTGTGACAATCATTAAGAAGCTATAAATAAATAAGATTCAAGAAGTAATGACACGGCGCGTGAAAAGAATCTTGATAGGAATATGTTTACCGTGATGAAAATTTCTAGCAATTTTGTTTGATATGCAGTTCAAACTCACATCATTGTTGATCGTGCAGTAGCACCATTCTAGCAAGTTAATCTTATTTCTTTATTTTCAGTAGTGAAAATGATAATCTGCAAAATTATTATGAACGAGACTATGTGGTCCAACGCATACCTTTACCGCCTTTTTAGAATTTAAAGCTGTGCTACTGGCATGAGATATGTTGTACTGATTAGAAGCCATGGAGTTTTCTCATTTACCCGGTGGAGGGGGGGCCTAATATTTTATTAGCGTGGAGCTATGTAAATCTGTAAAGCTGAGTTACCGCATTAAGATTCCCAGCACCTGGAGTAGAGTTGGGAGGTGGTGGGGGTGGTTCTTCATTCGGAGGTGGAGGTGGAGCCGAAGATATACCTCCTGGAGAGGAGGTTTGTTGTTGAGCTGCTACTGCGGCCATATACTGTTGATAGTACTGAACATAACCAGCATAGCCACCATATGCGGCGTATGGATCAGCTCCAGCCCCATAGTATTGAGCATATTGTGCAGCATAGTCAGCGGCAGCAGATGGACTAGCAGCCCCAGGTGCAGCTGAGGCGCCTAGGTTGGCGCCTCCCTGTAAAGTAGCTGCTACAGAATTACCGTATCCGCTAGCGTAAGATCCACTGTACAAGCTCGACCGGTCTGGTGCGCGATCTCCGTAACCACGTTCTCCGCCATAACCAGTAGTTCCACCAAACGGGCGTTGTTGTGGGCGGTTCTTGAATTCCTCGTACTGATCTCGAACATTCTTTAACAAATCTTCACATAACTCCTTCGCTCTTTGAACTTCAGCAGGGTCAGGCCCCGCTACATGCAAGTACATTGGTTCATCACTCTCTTGACCAGTACCGTGTTCCATAAATCCGGAGCCACGGCCTTTAATCTGTACACGACATCTAGTTTCTTGTTGAATATGCTTCACATAAGCACCTCCATGTCCAACAACTTGAGCACGGAGATTGAATCCTGGAATTGGTTCGAAGTCTATAAGTATTTTTTCTTCAGGCCATTTACGCTGGCTATGTTAGTTTTATATTTCGTTTTCTGCTTTGACCTACCCTCCCAAATTCATCTCTCTCGACTTGATCTGGCTCGCGGCGTCGGAATCTTCGTTCATCGACAAGATTAGGTAGCTCCTGCTTCATAAGCTCTTCAATTTTTATTACTGCCTGTTCAAGGCCTTGCTTGCTAGTGCTTGTAACGTGTAGATAGAGTGGTGGATTCTGATTATTATTATTAGCATAATTCGTCGTTCCGAAAAGTTAAACTTGCAGCAGCAGTAGCCATACTCTTGTCAGGATAATAATTCCCACGCGTTGTGACATCTTTAAAAGTCAACATAAATACTATGTAAAAACGTAAATAGTAGGTAGACATAGCGTACCAGCTCCGGTTTCTTCCTTGATCTAGAAGTCACGCAGTGGGAGTCAGCAGATGAAAACGAGGGATTTGTAATAAAGCTATCGAGCTTCAGCATAGTAAATCTGATGATTCCAAATAAATAAGTAAAGGAAAGGAGTTTTTATCGTGTATGCAGCCTGACGCATCAGTGAAGTATAACACAAGGAGTATTTACCATCTTCTGTGTAGAGCCTTTTGTCAGTGTGTAACGATTTCGGAGATCGTTGACTTCAATATCTCGTATGTAGTCTCCATCTGCAATATACATCTCACCATTTACCAGACTCGTGCTGTTACCAGAGCTTGCAGCTTTAGGGGATGCAGCTAATACTGGGGTAGGACTCTGTGTTGCCCGAATTGGAGGGACATCAACATGTTGTATTCCTTTTTTAGCCTGAATTTGTGCGTTTATTTTTGCAGCTGCGGCGGCTAGATCTCCATTAGTTCTTTCAAATATATCGATTTATTCTACGTGAGTACGAACCTGCGGCAGCGGCAGCATCTACCTTCTTCGTTGGCTCATGATTTACTGGAGAGCTAGATGGTCTTTCCAGAGGACTTTTGCTGCGTCGGCTTCCGGATTTCCTGGAGACTGGTGCAGGCGATCGGGATCTTCTGTCAAATCTAGACGCTCTTTTTGGTTCGCTTTCTGTTTGGTCAAAGCGTGAGCGCTTGACAGCTCGCCTTTCGGTATCATCCATTCAAAATTTGCGTTGTGTAAGGCAGTTGTAGGTCTATAGGTTTGCTGCAAAGTAATTTTTTGGCCAATGATGTAGTTTCACATTGATTTGGGGTGCTTTGGGTTCAAAAGGACTCTTCGGGTAATTTTAATCACAGAGCCAGTCACGTTTTAGCGGAGCTTACTAACTTCCGTTTGATCACTCATCTTCATGCACTACACAAAAAAGTCTCTCATCTCACAGCATATTCTCATTTGTAGATTGTACTGTAAAGACCCTTCCGTTCTGGCTCCGATCAGAAACAACCACAAAAACATCAAACCCCCCCTTACCACCCTTCACAAGTCGCGTCAAAAACCGACAACTGTAGCCAAACCGACACCAGAATCAAGCCGCATCCCGCGCTCAGCGCGCGCGAGAGCAGCCCTCCCGACTATGGAGGGTCTTACCCAATCTCAGGCGGTAGAAGCCATTCCCTTCTATAATCCAGCTCTTAGCGATTGGGACACACCCGGGAGCAGCCAGCAGCTTGACATGGAGATCGATCCAATTAATTACGACGATCAAATCGAATACGACGACCCCATAGACGACCCATTTTCAGAGCCAGCTCCCGCGGGCCCAATGCAAGACACTCTGACCAAGAGCGTAAACTCTTTGACAGCCCGAGCAAAAGAAGCAGAGACCCTTTTTGGAGGTATTTCTGCACTAATCGACAAGCATAGCAGCGCACCCAACTACGCTACACTACCCGCCAAGCAAGCTGAAGCATTCAAAAGCCTTTGCAATGATTTAGCTAAAGTCGCAGCACGGCATTTCGATGCTTACCTCTGTGACAAGCCAGTGACCGTCACCATCGACGCCGCCACGTCCAACCGCAATGCCCCAAAAACTGCGCAGACCTACGCAAATGCAGCTTCAAGGGCGTCCAATAAGCAATTCGCCGGTCGCCACACTCCAACCCTCCAAACACCCGCTAAAGCGCGGCTTCAGCTCAAGCCCACCCGCACTGATGATCGTTTATTTGTCCGTATCCCGGAAGGTAATACACTCCGAGATCACTCAGCATACGCGATACAATCCCACCTGAAAGCTAAGCTTGGCAATGAGGGTCAGATTCTTACAAATGTGCAGTCAACAAAGACTGGTTTCGCTCTCTGCCCCAAAGACGGAGACTCAGAAAATCTCATGGAAAAGATAAAGTCCGTTAGTTTCTTCGGGGACGCACCAGTTGAGAAAGCAACACCATGGACTTCCTACCGCATAAAAAATGTTCCCCGGACATATGGAGCCCTGGAACACATCAACGAAGAATGGAAGTACTGCCTTAAGCCCGTCACAGCTGAGGCGTTGAAGGATGCCCTAGCCACGGCAGCTGGAGCGGTACCTGTAGCTATTGCGGCTTCTCGCGACAATGATGCTAATCCAACGTCCTCATCGACGACATGGATCGTGCGTTTCCCAGAATCACATCAGCGCCTGCCACGAACCCTCTTCCTCCTTGGCTACCGCACGCAGACAAGAATTCTGCCCAAGCGTCAGATGGCTGTCCAGTGCACCCGGTGCTGGCTCTGGCACAATACACGCACATGTGCCTCCGACCTCAGATGCCGCCTTTGCGGATCCTCCAGACACTCCGAAAAAGACCATGCCAATCAATGCGGCGCTACGGGCCAACACATATGTCCCAACAGATGTATCCACTGTCATGGGCCCCATCCCGCGGACGATGTCAGCTGTCACCTCCGGCCTAAGCTCTCCGGTCCTCCAAAGACCAAGAATCAAGTAACTGCTATCCGCCAGATTAACGCAGACGCTCGCCTACGGAAACAAGCAGAAGCTGGCTGTATCAAGGCTACGGCCAGCCCCAAAACCCCGCGTACTACGGCCGCAACTCCAGCTGAAATAGGCCAAACCCAGCCGGTTTCAGTAAAATCCATCAACCCCTACGAAGTTCTACTCACAGGGGATCAGAGCAACGACCAAGCGCAATCGTAATGACCCCTTTACGGCGCCGCAAACATAACAATTGCCCATTAAAAATAGTATCTGCAAATGTCGGCCGCGGTGCCCAAGCGCACGAGTTAGCTCTCAACGAAGCCAGCCTAGCCTCCGCTGATATTGTCCTAATACAAGAACCGTACATTTACAGCGACCGCGCCAGGCGGATCACCAAACGCCACCCATCCTTTGAGTCCTTCTCACCTATCGACGACTGGACATCTTCACGACCCAGGGTGATGTCCTATGTGCGGAAAAATGCCTGTCTCTGTTCAGAACAGGGTTATACGGCATTCTCAGGCGATATGCTTCTTCTTAAAATTATCTCGTCCTCTGGTAAGTCCATAAGCATTATCAACGTCTACAACGCTCCTGCAGGACCCACCAGCAATAGCGTTCTCGATTCTCTTTACTCTCTCACCCTCCCATTCGAAGGCAATCTGCTTATCTCTGGAGATTTCAACCTACACCACGCCAGATGGCAGCCATCATGGACCCGCAGCCCCTCCCCCGGCGCCGTAAAATTCACAGAATGGGCAGATAAAAATAGTCTCTCTCTTCTATCACCTGCAGATATGGCAACGCATGACCGAGGCAATGTACTCGATTTAGTTCTCGGATCCAGCCCTCTAGTTCAAAAGACAAAGTGCACCCTCGCTCCACACCTGGACACGACGTCAGACCATGCCACAATACTCACTTTAGTAGATTGGGAAGGCTATACTGAACCCCTCCGCAGGCTCAGATTCGACACGTTGGATAAGGATCTTTTCCTCCGTCTCCTATCCATCAATATTGATGGTATTAGTCCAATTCCACTAGCTTCCACCAGGGAGGCGCTGGACAGGTGTGCTATAGAGTTAACAGAAGCTATTCGTACAGCATACACGGGCGCAGCCCGCCGCTCACTAGGCCATGGTAAAGGGAACCCATGGTGGGATATATCATGCAAACAGGCTCGCCAAAGATACAAGAATGTCCGTTGCGGACCCATAACAGAGGAAGGTGTTGCCAGAGAGAGAAAGGAGTATCGGGGCACGATTGCAAGGGCAAAGAAGGCATACTTCACTAACAAGATTGCCGCAGCCAGTACGGGCAAGGACATCTTCGCTCTGACAAAATGGCATAAGTCCACGGGTAACTTCCGATCCACTCCCCTTAAAGATCCTAGGTCTCCAGACCGTCCTCCTGCAACATCGTTGCCAGAAAAAAGGGAAATTCTACTCGGTAATTTACTCACAAACCTGACTGTAGTGGATGATATCCCTTTGGATACCCCGACAGTTGCAAAACGCTCCATTTCGTTCCCACCACTCTGCCAGGACGAAGTTCAGGATTCGATTCTTAGAGCAGGAAATACAGCCCCTGGGGTTGACGAGATCCCGACTGCCATATTGCGTATAGCTTGGCCCCTCATCGGAGAACATATTTTCTCACTCTTCAAAAGCTGTCTCACTCTCGGTCACCATCCTGTCTGCTTCCGACAAGCTGTCTTAATCATGCTTCAGAAGCCAAACAAGGCAGACCTATCTTCTCCTCGCTCATACCGCCCGATAGCACTTCTCTCCGCACTTGGGAAGGGGTTGGAGCGGCTGATAGCCAGACGTATAGCTTGGATTGCGACCCGAAATACGATACTCACCACCCAGCAGTTTGGTGCTCTCCCAGGAAGGTCAGCCGTCGATCTCACCACCTGTCTTACACATGATGTCGAAAGAGCTTTGAGCGAGGGGCGCACGGCTAGCATGCTGACACTCGACGTGAAAGGAGCCTTTGATGCTGTGCTCCCAGGCCGGCTTGTCCGGCGTATGCGGGAGCAAGGCTGGCCAGAGTTCCTTGTCAACTGGGTAGCCTCTTTCGCTACTAACCGTTCAGTACAAATCCGTCTCGATGGCGAGCTAGGTCCTCTCCAGTCAATCAACTGTGGTCTCCCACAAGGCTCCCCTGCCTCACCTATCCTTTTCATGCTCTATATATCCCCTCTGTTCAAGCTGGGAAACGTCTCTAGGAGGTTTGGGTATGCTGACGATATCGCAATTCTTGAGACCCAAAAATCACTTCACGACAATTGCATCTCTTTAAAAATGGCACTGAAAGAAGCTTTAGAATGGGGGATAAAGGAGGGCATCACTTTCGACCCAGCTAAGGCAGAGCTTCAGCATTTTTCACGTAAACGGGCTGATAAGAATCCGGGCAACACCCCGTCGGTCAAGCACGGCAATTTCTCCGTATCTGAGAAAACAAATCGCCCATACACCAGATGGCTGGGAGTATATTTTGACAAAACACTTTCTTTTAAATGGCACGTCCGCATCCTTGCAAATAAAGCTCTAGTGGTGGCAAACGCGCTCCGCAGCCTTGGTAACACACTAAGTGGAGCCCCCCCTAAACTCCTACGCCAAGCAGTCACCGCTTGCGTACTACCTATCGCCTATTATGGAGCTGAAACATGGTGGCCAGGCCTGACACGCGCTATCTCCCCAACTCGGACCGTCTCAAACTTAGTGAAGGGACATCTCTCCCTCCTCCAAAAGGTTGTTAGAACTAGTGCAAGAGCAATTCTTCCAGTCTACCGAACAACACCAGCTAGCGCGCTATATAGAGAAGCAGGTCTTTCCCCTCCAGAAATCGCGCTGGACTCAAAACTTCGTCAAGCATCCCTCCGTATACAACGCCTCGATCCACGGCACCCTCTTCGCCGCCGGAACATTTGGATCCTTAGCCAACAGAGACGTGTCTCACGCCTTTCCAGGTGGGCCCTAAGCTTCCCGCCTACAGAGTATCTGGACCCTCTGGTCAACCCCCCTTGGTTAGCAAAGGAGAGTTGGTTCTCAAGGACTAGACGGGTCACTGCTGCCTCACATCAACTTCCTGAGGGGATCCCCTCACATGACTTAGTTATATATTCCGATGGCAGCCGCCTAGAATCAGCTTCGGGACCTTGCGTCGGAGGTGGTTTTGTAATCTTCCAAGCAGGCCACATGATCTGCCAGAAAAGAATACCTCTAAGCCCATCACTA